TTGTGTACAGTGGATCGGGAGACCCTCGGAAGATGTCGCAGCTGCAGCAGATGCACGCCAAATGGAGGAGGGAGTACAACACTCCAGGCAAGAAGTGGGATGAATTAAGTGTCAAGTGGACAGATGTAGAGGACCAAGCTCTTAGGAGGGCCGCTCAAAAGGCAAGGTCAGGAATTGCATTTGTCTCGGTCAAGTAGACCTATTATTGTACATCATCAGTGCCAATATAGATGAATAGAATAACCAAGAGTAAAATATAAGTACTTCATTGTGGACCGCCAGCTAAAATAAAATCAAAAGATGCTGCCGCTCATTTCTCACGAATCCACGCTATCCTACCTGTACGTACATGTACTCCGTATGACTGATCCGATTCCCCAACCCATCCATTTTTATGCAAACGATACCCAAAACAAGTGCACTTTTGGAATTACCCTCCCTCCCTATTAAGTTACGCTCAACCCTTCCAAGGGTGCGAGGCAAAAAGCAAATACAAAAAAAAAAAATGACCAAGACAAAACGCTTATCCCATCGCCATGGAAAAATCAAGAGCCCATCTCGCACACAATCGGCGCACTGACTAAGCATAGCCAAACTGTCGCGCAGTAAAAGGGGCAAATAGTCCACCGTCTCACCCTGTAACACTGAATAAAATTTGTATTGCGCGTGCGGTTATAAAGGAAAAGTCTATAAGTGTCGTATTTGACAAAGAGCCCGAAATAATAAAGAGGCCGTTAATCGTCAGCTGTTGCATTATTATAAATTTCAAACAAGTAGAAGAATCTGGTGTTTCGGTTCAAATTGCTCAATCTGAAGGCGGTCTGGTTCACGAGTGACGTGATTTTTTGCGCCCAAGGCTGCCAAAATCGTCCACGAGCTCCGCAGAACTACCCAAGAGGTCCAGCGGTGGCAGTTGAGGGGGGTCGACACGATTGATCTCATGTTGTTGAACCCTGCCATAACTAGCGTGTTTTTCGTCTTGCCTGCTGCCTTGCAGGTCGATATCTGACAGCTCGCCGGGAAACTCTAAGGAAGATTTGGAAGAGAGGCGTTGCTGCCGCGACGAGGTCCGTTCGAATGGCAAGGCCGATGACGCTGACAAGGTTTGTCTATGGCCCCTGGCAGACTGTCCCCCATCATGAGACGCATGGTCGGATGGCGCTGGAGAGCTTGAACTTATCGCAGATAGTACCGGTAGGTGCCGGTCATCCACTAAGCCTGAGATTCTCTTAGAACTTTTGCGTGGAATTTCTGGCAGGCTCAAACCGAGCAGTTCACCTTGTTTAGAACCTCTCGGCAATTTCGAGTGATCGATATCTTCCTCTTCCTCATCATTATCGGAATCTGAGTCGGAACCACGCGGAGTGCCATCATCCGTGAGCAGGTCTCCTGGACTTCGCTGGGGAGACCTGGGAGGACGCTTCACAGGAGGATCGCCTTCATCGTCTGAATCGATCGGTCCGTTTCTCAACACACCCATGGCAACAGGGATGCCTTCGGGGGGAGTCTCGTCTCCAAAACCCCCATTCCGTACCATGTCTGGGGGCATTCTAGAGCTTCGGACAACTTCGAATCCCTTCCCCTTTTCCTTGCTCTTGCCGCCGAACAGTGTTCTGAACCAGCCAGTTGCAGTAGCCACTGGACCAGTGGGATCGGCTGGACCAGTTCCAAGTCGTCGCCCAGGGTTGTCCGAGTTCAATGCCGGGCCACGCACACCGTAATAAAAGTCAACTTCACGTGTGGCGTAGTCCGGGCGGTTCGCAGGCAAGTTCATGATACCGCCCCCGGCACCAGGAGGAGCAGGTGTTGCTGCGCGAGTAGTGTCTTCGCCAGAGACGTCTCCACTCTCCCCTACAGTGGCCGGAGTGAGAGCGGCTTGTTTGGGGTCGAGTCCCAAAGCATTGGAGGTCGGTGTATCCGAGTGTGTCGAGTCTCGCAGGTTCGCGTTGTTGTTTGCTGTTCGGCGTGGCGGTCGATAGTAGGGATCGGATGGCTCCATATGACCGCCAGCAAGTATCGGGCGACCAACTGTGGGCGATGCGACAAAGGAAAAGGTGCTCGTCTCCCCCGGGGTTCCGGGAATGTAGGAACTGTTTGTATCGACGTGGCGGTGACCGGCCGACCACATGTCAGCGCTATCAAGAACTGAACTACTCCGCTGGTTATGTGCGGCGATACCGCCATAGCTAGCCCCCGAAGCACTTCGAAGGCGGCCACCTGGTACGGAGTAGCCAGTCCTGCTGGTACCTTCTTCAGCATGCAGCATTGCCATGGACGACAGCTGACTGGCTCTCGAGGGAGCGGTTCGGTGCGTTTCACGTCGTGACAGTTGACGCATACCGAAAATCTTGGACAGGCCCCCCCTAGTCAGGCCAGTGATGTTGTCTCCTCCAGCGCCCAACAAACGTGCTACAACTTCGACTATTGTTGACAACGCACTCAAGAAGAACCCAAAGAAAAGAACACTGCCGTGAATGAGTAGGATAGCATATCCAATCCACCCTTTGGGTCCCTCTGTAACACCAAGACTGGGGGCAAAGGCGACCATCAAAAGAACACACGCGAGCCGGAGGATGGCAAACAACGTATGATAGGCGTTCATTGACGTAGATGACTGGAAAGGCCGAAACGCGTGAATGGTGAACATTTGAATGACTTCGCAAATGGCTAGCAAGACGACTTGGGAAATGCCACTGGGTTGCACGGCTCCAATAGCCACGCCCCGAACAAAGTTGAGCAAAACCGGGATCAGGGCAAAAGCGGCAGCTTCGTCAGAGTATGTGTTATACAATGGTCCATATCGCAAGACGGTAGGCAAGTCGTCAAACAGGACTGATTTCGGTTTTGTCCGAATAATGAGTAGGAGGATATAGCAAGCAAAGGCCAAAAGCACAGCTATGGTGACGGTAGCTAAGACAACGGTGAATGCGGGCGACTCGTGCGCAACAACCAGTTGAAAACACGACAGGGCAACAACCGGCATCAGCAAAAAATTGAAGACGATTCGAATCACATTTCCGATGCTGAAGGGAATGTTTTTTGCACGGAGATCCTCCTCTGGAATGTTTTGGATCTTTCGATACAGCCATTGAACAAGGAATCCGGCTTGGGTGAGGACGAAGACTGCTGCAATAATAACGCAGAGCCAGACCATCATGCCCGCCCAGATGTCGGCACTCTCAGACATGCCAACCAACTGGCCAAGGGCATGTAGGCCGTAGCCATCCTGAGGGTCAGTGATGTAGATGCCATCGCGGACGCTCTGCCAGCCAGGGGTGTGCGTAACAAAGCTTTCGTTGAACATGAGTGCAGACCACCCAACCTGGCTCACGACGGGCTGAAAGAAGCCAGGATAGCTCAGAGACAGTGCGCCAGACAGGGCTATAAATTGAATATATTGCAAACAATCTCCGAAACCGGGTGTGACGAGTCGGAGCAGGTCGGCGTCCCGGCCATAGTTGGACGTCCAATGGAAAATGTTGGAGCTTCCCCACGGGCTGAAGATGGCAGCAAACACGACAGCGAAGCCACAAAATATAAGGACAATCAAAGGCATGATCTTAAGTACCCATGAGAGATTCCCGAGATCCGGAGTGATGGTGGCGGAAATACAACCAATGTTGTCACCCCGTTGGTTACCAAAGATGATCAACATGGTGGTCGCAAAGGAAGCAAGTTGATATGATGAGCGCATGTCGTTTGTGATGTTCATCGATGGCAGATCAGCCAGTGTCCTATCGAAGTTAGTTTGCTGCTCAGTCGCATCGTCTCCCGCGCGCCGTCTCGCCGTCTGCCTGTTGCGTATCCGCACTTACACTTTGCCCGTGGTATTAAATACCGGAGCCAACGGACAATGCCCCCCAACCAGAGCCTGCTCACAAAAGAAGCTTCTACTACTCCAAGGCGTGTAGGTGAGCATGCCAATGGAGCTCTTGACCGTGGTGCCGTTTGCATCGTTTTCCGAGTTGACAATCTTGCCGTCGGTCTTATTATCGTTGGTCCAATCGGGACTAGTCGGCGGCGGCAGCATCTGCTTGTTCACTGAGCCCGTGACATTTCCCCAGACAATGAACTGGAAGTTGTGGGCGTCATTTTGGGTGTCAAACTTGGCGTGGGCTTCAACTGGAACCCATTGCAAAAACGGCGGTTGTTGTGATTGTACCGAATCGGGCAGACAGTTGGTGTACTTGATTTGGACGGCCGAAGCAGGACGGCAGGCGAGGGATAGGAGAAGTATGATGGCGAGGAATCCAGAGGGAGTAGTAATGAGACTTGTTAGGAATCGAGGCATGGGCCGTATGTATTTCCTGCGGCCCGGTCGACTCGTGCAACCAGGAGTCTGCCAAAAGCAGGCCGAGGCTGAGCTACAGCAAGAATCAGCGGAAACAAATGGACACGTCGATGATGAGTCCATTCGGGCTTGAGATTTTCGCCTTGGGTGGGAGCTTCGATGCTCTGCGGTCGACGATGGCGAAGTGAGACGTCTGCACAACCGGCCGTCAAGGCGCTGCTCCCAGTCGCGCCCGCCAGCCATGCTGGGGCGCATGTATTTCGATGCTCGCCGCATTCAAAGGCAGCGCATCTTGGGGGAATGTTCCGTAGTTGAAGCTGTGGCAAATCGAGGTGAAGAAAAAAAAAAAAAAGAGCGAGCGACGAGAGCTTGTTGTTGCGTGTGCGTTTCGTCGAGGCGGGACAGGCTGCGGACAGGAGAGCACCAGCCTCGAGAGAAAAAGGTGAAACAGGCCGTCGACAGCCAATTGTCTTGTCTGTGTCTGCAGAGTTCTGCGTAGAGAAGTGCAACGCCTTGTACCACCCAATCTGCCGAAAAATAAAAATAAACGCTTTGCTTTCCAAGTGAAGGGGTCGACACTAACAATAGAGAGAAGCCCAGTATTGTACGGAGCATACGGTGGAGGAAAAGAGAGAAGAAACAGAGAGCCGTTGACTACAGATGGAGACACGGGCGACGGGCATCGGGGACCAGGGGACCAGGGGATAAATCAGGCCAGTCTGTGCTGGGATACGACGACAGCACTTGGGCCCAGGAGCCAGGGCAAAGGCAGGCAACGCAGGCACCAACCAGCACCAGACTGTACAGGCAGAAAGCAGGCACTGGAGTAGCGGAAGAGCTGAGCTGGCTGGGCAGGCTGGGCAGCTGGGATCGGCCTTGACCAGCCAGCCAAGGTGGAGTTGATGGTGCGTGTGGAGTTTGAAGGTGGCAGAGGTGCAGAGGTGCAGAGGTGCAGAGGTGCAGAGATGACGGAGGCGACAATGCTCGAGTGGGGGGGAGCGGCCAGCGGGTTCAATGTGGCGGTTGGCTGTTGGCAGCGGCTTGGTGACCCTGTAGCAGTAGTACTAGTAACCGTCCAACCGTAGCGGCGGCTTCTCGCCAACAAGCCACTACTACCAGTGTCAATTGTCTGGTGCATTGTTGTCCGGTGCATCCAGCAACTCGTTCAATGTTCGGAGCATCGCCAGACGCACGCAATAATGGCCAACAACAACAAAAAGAGAAAAAGAGAAAAAAGAGCTCGCCAGATCCCTAGAGCCCCATGCTTCACCACATGCCGCTGCTCCTCACCAATCAGCTACACCTTTTCTCGGGCCATGCGACAAAAAAGAGAGCAAAAATCCGGAGTTAGCCTGGGCTGGAATGTACCGTGGCCGGGAATAATCTATGTATGATTCACGCCGCAAACAGGAGACTGATAGTAGTAATTTTTTTACGAGACCACACACACACTCGCACACACTCACACTATTATTACAGTAGGTGGTGTACTGCATACATACCTAGGTACTGGCTTCAAGTTCCGATAGTTGCCAGGCGGAAATCGAGGAATACCACACTGTGCTGCTCAAAGTACCTCCTCCATCGCTCTCCAATCTTGCCTTGCCTTCCCAGTCATGACGAAAACTCGGCTCTGCAGCACCTGGGGCCCCTGCATTTCCTGCTGCGTGCAACGGCCTCCGGCGAGATGGGACGAGATGACACGGAGCCGACGCCGCTCATCCCACAGACCAAGCTGGAGCGTCTTCTGGCTTCTCCCCAGCATCGTCGACGGGGAGACTTTCGACCATGGGACAAACTCCAAGCAACTCCCATCTTGGGTAGCGATGGGAGGCGGTGCATCGCGCTAGCGCAGCCGTCCTGAAACCTCTCGCTCCCTCGTGCTCTTGCCTCTCTGCCCGTGGCTGTCGTGGCTGTCGTGGCTGCTCGTCAAGCTCGTCAAGCTCGTGTATGCCCCTGCTCTGCCCGCCTCCACGAGCCCCCATTACCCGCCGCCATCGTCGCAGAGAGTGGCACAGCCGGCCTCTGATCATCGTCTTAGCCGACCAGACCCATGAACTTTGTCGTTTCGGTGGCTGCGTCAGCCTGCGGCAAAGACCAGCCTTGCAGTGTGCGCCTGCCCTGGTGTTGAACTGAACGAACCAGACCGCGATTCCCGTTCGCTTACTCTCATCTCGCGTCGCCTAAGTGCATAAAAAACGCGCCGCAGCTCCGACAACAGACCGTACTCCGTACTCCGTATACTATTACAAATTTATGCAAAATTCAATAAAGCGAAAGCATTAATTGCCATCCTCATATTACCTTGGCGTCTTATCAAACCGTCTCTTCACTGGCATAGCCAAAAATGCACCAGACAAAAATACTTCAGTCATTACGGCCCTTTGGGCCTTTCGAATACTCTGTGCAACTTGATCAGCACATATTTCCGAGGATTCCCTGGGGAGTCAGCTATGTAAGTTATTAGTACCTCTGTACATTCATGTACACCAGACTTCGAACGTTGCAACATTGAACCTTCAATGTGCGCTCTAGCGCCATGACCCACTAGAGTCATCCTTGCATGTGGTCCTCATAGCCCCTGTGGCCCGCTCCGGCTGAGCTTAACTACACCACAAGCTGGGCTAATTATAAATTTGAAGTCAATAATACTATGACAATCATAGCCATTCCAGCAGTTTAATAAAACACAATCAAATGCAACGTGATTGACTGAATAAATCTGCCTCCCGCACCTATCTGCGTTGGCCAATGCAATGCAATGCCCCTTTTTTTTGTGTATTATATGATTGAATCGGCTTCAATCATCGCACCGTGATATCCATCACAAGTCATCGGTTGTTGACCTGCCAAATACTTATGTAAAGTAGGTAGCATATAGCATGACCACCACCCCACAGCCCAGCAGATACGAGCTTTTTGATCGGGTAGCCCCGACAAAACGTCCTCTTGGACTTGCTCAGGATTTTGTTCCCGCTACTCAGCCCTACATTTACCCTTGGCTCTTGACTCTAGTGTGTATTCCACGTGTCCTGGAATGTTGTTTCTCTTCATCCATGAACTTACCGATGACTGCAACTCTCGTTGAACACAGTGAGTTTCTGAGAGATTTCGGAATGGGAGGGACATTCTAAGGTTTCCATGGGTTATGTACGTCTCCAACGGTGAATGATGATTCATCTGATGCTGAATTTGTTGAATCTGTTGATGAACAATGGTACACAAACCAAACGTTTGCTTGGCAGCATCGATGCGCTCAAGTGGGAGCTGGCCAGTGGACATTCGCCTTACTTGTCTGTGATGGGTATGGAAACGCTGTGCCCTAACGTGGTATTCACGAGACTCCTCTGTGGTCCATGCTAGCTTATTATTGGATTGCGATGGCCTGTTGGCGCGCCGGGTTTCCCGCTCGGTCAATATATTTAGTGAGCCCTCACTTTCTTGGCATCCCTTGTGGTGGCCATCATTTTTCTCAAAAAAGGTTGGCATATGAACAGGCTTGTTTAGTAGCTCCGGGGGGGTAAAAAGAAAAGGAGCCGGACGTTTTGTGTAAGGCGGCGTCAACTGAGGTGCTTGAGAATGCGACGAAGCCGACGACAAGAATGATTTTATGCTATTCCTAGGAATTTCATCATGGATTCTGCACGGCTGATTCAAAACAACGAGAGATGGATCTTCCTGGGCGAGACCAAGCCCAACAGTCCGCCGCGGATAGACCTGGGATGGGCCGGACACACCTGCCGCGCTAGCCGCACTTCTGTAAGAGATATGATTGGTACCAGAGGACGATTTTCCTTGTCTTGGACCATTTTGCGGTGAGACATCCCTTAGAAACTCGTTATGACTTTGTCGAGCAATATTTGTTCCAAGGACGAATGAATTGCTAAGCTGAGGACGAGGTCTAATCTGCGTGTTCGCTTGCTCATGTCTATATCTAGGATCTGAAGGCGGAGGAGTAAGCATCCGAAGAGAAATGCTATCCGAAGGTGAAATTACTTCGTCATCTTGCGTTTCCTCGGAGTTTGTCCCAGCGATATATAAAGACGGGGTTGTCCTCTCCGGCCCCTGTGCCCCGAGATGACGAGTTGAGTTTGCAACCCTTCGCAATGACGGTACTATATCCCTTCTGCTGGCATTTATGATATGCATTGGGACTATTGAGTCTGATCCTGGTGGCTCCGGAGTAGACTCCGCTTCTTCTCGTATTCTGTTCAAGGCGATGTCGCTCAGGGGCTGCAAGGGAGTGCGATTGGAAGGACTGGACTCGTCCAGTTGAGGATCTACTGGGCTTGCCACGACGGTTCCGGCAGTTGCAGTATCATCATGGGAAATCTTGAAGCCGTCTTTTGGCAGGGACTGAAAGTAGTGACGAATGGTTTTTGTCTGGCGGGGATGTTGCTCCTGATTGTTTGTGTGACTGTCCCGGACAGAGGGTGGTCCAGCTGGAATTTCCACTTCGATAGCCATATCCATGTTCTCTTCGTCCGAATCACTATCCTCTTTCCGCCCCATATTTACTGTGAAAGTCGTCTTCATTGTAGTCTGAATCTTCGGCCTCGTAGCCCTTGAGGTGTTTTGGAGGGCTTGAGTATTGTCAAGGTTGTCATGTTGGCCGCTAACTTTATCAGTAGAGGCACAGGATACACCTTCATCCTCAAGCTCGGTTGCGAGCTGCCTTTCACACTCTCGGGCATTATTAGGCTGTGTACTGGCAGTGGCCGGTGGGTGTGTAGCTGCAAGAGCCTGATTGTGCTTTTCGTATGCTCGCTTACACACAAGCTCAAAGCCATCAAGGAGGCCCTTCTCTTCAAAAATTAAGAGCTCGTCCTTCCTCATTGTGATGTTTGGGTCGTAGCTGCGTGGGGGACATCGTATGTTGATTTGCAGAAACACGCCACATTGTCTTTCTGCGGATTTCGGTGCTGTGGTCTGGGATATGTGAGATTTCAAAATACTTGTCATTTTTTTCGTAACATGCCAACCAGCAGACATTGGCCTGTTATCAATAGATAGATGCGCTCCCCGAACTTTGAAATCCTTGGAAATGATATATGGTTTCTGGATATAGCCGCTAAACACCCATCGGGCAGGCTCTTGTGTCTCCATTTGGGATATCGATTCTCTGTTGAAATGTACCTCTTCATATACCTCGATGCAATTCACCATACCATTTGCGCCCAATATTTGTAAGATTGCCTCTCGCTTTAGATCGGGGGGCTTTGGCGAATAAGCCCACAGTGGTTTGGTATCCCCTATTATTTTCAGTGACATTTTAACATTTGGGCGAGCAAAAACATATTGCCTTAAAAGTTGCTGGATTTGGGAAATACAATTCTTCGCCTGCTTCAGAGCATACTGCTTTCTTGGGGGGAGATTCTCAAAGAGCCTCGTAACTGCTACTGTGGTTCCAACGGTAGAGGAAACTGGCCGCCGGTCCTTGACACCACCCGTGCCCGGTATTAACTCGATTCTCCAGGCTACAGGATCCCCGGGACTCTTTGTAATAATTGAGACGTTGGCTATTGAATTGGCACTTGCCAATGCTTCACCCCGAAATCCAAGCGTCGTCCCGCCAACCTCGACTAATTCGCTGTACTCTCTGAGCTTGCTAGTATGTGCCCGTCTGCCTAGGGCACCGAAATCACTTATATCGATGCCACTTCCATTGTCTCTGACTGAAATTCTGTCAATAGTATTTGAAGAAGCGGCTATCTCGACGGCGGTGGCTTGGGAATCCAGCGCGTTGTCTAGCAGCTCCTTGACTAAATCGTACGGCGTCGTGATATTCATTGAGGAACCCAAAAGTCGAACAGTAGACTGAGGGAGAGGACGGATCGACATGATTAGATGTATTCTAGATGTGCCTCGATTAAAAAGATATGCTTCAAGGGATAGAAACTTGTCAATTTAGTGAATTCGAGTCATTCTTAATAATGGAGAAAATATGAAAATTCGCCAAAACAAAAAATTTCGAGAGGCAGGAAATGCAACTGCCATCTCTTTCTGTGTTGAACCTCTGCTGAATGCCGCTTGGGAAGGAGCTGCTGCCACAAATTGGGAAGGCAGGAGACACAGTTCAACAGCAACCGGTTCACAACTGAATTTTTTTCCTCCTAGACGGAAGAAATGAATCCAGAT